ATCTTATATATATATATATATGTATGTATGTATATTCACACCACCTCACTAAAGAGAGTATGCATGTTATGCACAACAACAAAAACAATGCAATGATATATCAATAACAACTTGTCAGACATTTTTTGTTTGGACTTCTCCACATATTACCAAGCCTTGCTTGGATTTCATTACTATCAAGCCCCTGCTTGGTCTTACTTATTTCAACATCATCATCATCATCATCAATTATTATCATTTCATGTATCGTCATTTACCAATGTCTCAAATGTTGCACACAACATTCTCAATTCAAACATCAACATTTCATATCATATGACACAAAACCATCTCATATCACGTCTAAGCACTTAAAGGATAAAACAACTCAAACTATCTTTCTTATCTTAAGCTTCTATGACATTGTGTGGTCTAAACACGATATATAGAGTTATACCTATGTTATTAAGTTGATATCAATTTCATTATAAATCTAAAACAATTATTTTTAACTTCTATGTTGATCTCAATGGTTGGCTTTACCATCTGCTATTTTTAAATTTACAAAACCACAACGTTTAAATCTAAATATAACAATTTGAACTTTGCTCACTAATTTGATCATATCTTGAGTTTTTTTACTTTAATTTTAGGTCATTCAAATGCCATATGGAAACTAACATCCAAGGTCACAACTCTAATGAATACCATAAAACTTAATTTGGTCATTTAAGCTTCCTCGCAAGACTTACAAGTTACAAATGTTACTTTTAGTGCATAGGACGTGAGACTCATTTTCTATCTCAAATAATTCAATCATTTCTTAATATTTTCAAGCGATTCTCGAGTATGTAGCTTCAAATGTCTAATTTTTAACTCAACAAACATGTTTATATTTGGTTAATCATACATAGAGAAATCACATAACTACTGAGGTATGTTTACTTAACATCAATTAATGCCAAATCATCCCATTCACACAATCCCCAATTCTCACAAGCCTCCCCAATTATCACATAGTCATAACCTCAGATATTTATCACTTCATAAAGTTTAATTAATCCTCATATGATAACATAAATTGCATATCTCAATTAATTCATCAAACACATTCAATCACAAATCTTAAAGAGACTTAGAGGTGACTTAACTACCTATATCCCTATGTGTTCATAATGAGACATTTTCACTACCCATATCTTACCTAGGGATGAAAATATGTTAGACCTTAAATATGGGTTTATGACATGACCTATTTAAAGCCTAACCCATTTAATAAAGGATCAGATTTAGACTTTTAAAAAGGTCTTTTTATTTTAAAAGGTTTTACTTAGGCTTATAAAAAAGTTTGTTAGGCTAACCTATTTATCAATATGATATATAATAAAAAAATAACATAAATATTTTATTTTTAACAATATAAAAAAATAAATTTGTAAATACATGAAATCAAATTATCAAAATTTTTTTTTACATTTGCATCACACTTAAAAGTTTTATATTCCTTATTCGTATGAAATCAAGAAATCAAAAATAAAAATTCTAGCAATCATATTTTTGCTTGCTTTTCCTTCATCTTTATGATTGATTATAGAGAATATTCTAAATGAAATGTAGAAAATATTTAGAAAGTTTTTTTTTATAAGTTTATTTTCTTTTATTGTAATTTGTGCATGGGTGTATATGAGATATACATGAGTTGTCTCTCTTCTTTAGTTTTTTTTTTCTAACTCTAAATTTTGATAATAATATAATAAACTATATTTTATCATGAAAATTAAAAAAAAATTGCGCACGCATTTAAAAATAGATTTATTAACTTATTTAAAATTAAATTTATTGGTCTATTTAATATCATTAATGTAAAACAAGTTTTTAAATAAGCTAAGAGGTTAGCTCAAACTTAAAAAAAAAGAGGCCAAATTAGGCTTATAAAAAATTTTATTCACATCCCAACTCTTTTCCAATTTGTATATTAAAAGTTTGATTTATTTTTTGGTAATACAACGCTAAGAAAACAAAGAGATAGAAAGAACAACATATTAGAGCAAAATAATTCACTCTCAAGAAGAAAGTCCTTGATCTATCTGCACAAATGAGAGGGTGCAAACCATTTGGCATAACTTCCACCACCACCATCCGCTGCTTGTAAAGAAGTCCCATCTGTATGAGAAAGTACGCACACTAGTTCCCTTCCTGTAGCGTATGACGAAGGGAAACTGCCCACCCTCATTGCATCAACTCTCGAATCTTTGCAATGACTATTGCGTGCATATGAAAAGGCTCCAAAGGTCCCAGTATCAAATTCACCGCATTCAGAGAATCTGACACATAACATCTCGATACAAATGGTTCCACGCCATCTCCAAGCCCGTGAGGATAACTACAAGTTCAGCTCGGAGATTATCCACTTGGCCAATATCACCATAAAATTCGTGTAACCATCTACGATGGCTATCTTTGTAAAGCCCACCAAACCCTGCTGGTCGGACAAATCATATCCCGACTTTTACCTTTGATGACGGCTTCCAAGGCAACGAACACAATCACCATTGTTATGAGGCTATTTCATGTGCTCCTCAAGGTTTTTCTTTAGGTTTTCCCTCTACATTCACTTTTAGAGGGATATTTGATAAGGGATAAACTAGCTAGCACTAGGGCACAAGGTTCATATAGCATTTGCATTGACAAAAGTGATAATTGTCTTAGACACTCAAACAAACCAAAAAATTCATATGAAGAATTGGTTCCTAGTTTTGTCAACCAATCAACGTATTTTGTTTCCCTCTTTGTAAGTACGTCTAATTTTGGAAATTAGACAAGCATACGGATGAGAGAACGACATGTATTCCTTGCTTGATAAGCAACAATCCATTTATTTAGTTTGACTCACAAATAATAGAGTTATATCATGCTTTATGCGCAATACGAAGACCATGATAAATGTTCAACAATTTCGCATACATATTAGTTGAGACACCATAATATCTTGTAAATCCTTAAATCCACTGTCAAAGATGATTTCAAAAAAAACTGTCAAAACCTAACTTGCCTAAATTTTTCAAAGAGCTCTCATTTGTGTTGATTTTGATAGTAGACTCATTTGGAGTAGTCCACCTAACTAGAAGATGGTCGACAAAAGTAGATTTGTTATTAAAAGCTAGAGGTGTAAGCGGGTACGGGTAACTCGCGAACCTAAACTAATCCAATGAGTTTGGATCAGGTTTTTTACTGTTCGAGTTAGACCTAACCAAAATCAATCAAA